CGGGACTAGGCCTTGGGCAGCTCCGGGGGCACCGGCTCCCGGGAGGCCGCAGCGGTAGGGAAGTCGCCAGGCCACGTCGTCTGGCCCAGCAGCCCTCACTTCCCGGGGCAGTGCCCGGCCCTGCGTCTGCGCACAGCGCAGCACGCGCTTCCCTCGGCTTTTCTAGACACCTCCCACCGTGGTTGACGGCTCGAATCCCCGCCCCCTGCCTGCCTCTTCGGTAGATGCCTAGTGCGCTTACCTGTTTATGCAGCGCCATCTGGGGGTCATCACGGGTATAGCGGGTTCTTGCACCTCAAGGGGCGGGAGAGGCAAAGAAAGTGTTTTAGAGTTGGGATTCATAATCTGGGGTATGTAACACATGTGCGTCCTTGAGAGTTGCGTGGTAATGGATCAACATTTTCCTGATGAGAAGGTTCAAAGTTTTCAAAATTGTGCTCGATCCCAATGAGATAACTATTTTTGAATCTGTAGAGATTCTATAACAAATAGTGGGCTGGGACGATTTGTCCAGTGAAAACATGGTGAGAAAATGGATTCTTTTATGGGTTATATTTGATTGGAAACTGGAGTACTAGTAGTGATGGATTGACACTGGCCATGTAATTGCTATAGGGTGTGAGGAGATAAGATTTAAAAAAAGGGATTTGGTTGTGTTGCTATAAACTGTCATCCCTTTTTTGCAAAGTATAGAATGTCTTTAATCCATAGAATTTCTATTTGAGTGTGGTGACTCTTGTGTGTAACACTACAACTCTAGAGGGTGAAGGCAGGAGGATTGCTGTTGAGTCCGAGATCAACCTGGGCTCCACAGTGAGTTCTAGTCTAGCCTGGACTACATAGCAAGACCCTGTCTTGAAAAAAAATTTAAAGAATTTCTTTATAATCTGGCACACTGAGGGTATGGTAATGTATGCTTGCAATCACAGCACTCTGGGAGGTTGGGGCAGGAGAATTGCAAGTTAGAACCCAGTCTGGGGAACTTATTTAGATTGTTTTAAAATAAAAAAAAATGAAAAAGCTGAGGATGTAGCTCAATGTGAAGGCCCTGGGTTCAATCCCTAGTTCCATACACACTCATACCGGGATGTGAACCTGTGCTACATAATTCAGCACATCTGTAAACCCAGGCTTTATAAGGGCTATTTTTCTGTTATTAGAAAGTTAGGAGCCAGGCATGGTGGCACACACCTGTAATCCCAGCACTTGGGAGGCTGAGGCAGGAGGATTGCTCTGAGTTTGAGGTCAGCTTGGACTGTATGAATCTGCCAAAAAATGTATGCATACTTCAGGAAAAGAAAAAGTTGTATAAATATTTTAGTACTAAATTTATTGAGACATCATGAAATTAATAGAAGTTGCCTTTGGCCTCCACAATTACAAGAGGTGCTCATAGTAGTGGCCATTAGATTCCAGACATTTATTAGTACTGCAAACTGCTGCTTGTGTGACCTTGGTCTTTGAGATTACTGTACATGCATTTTCAATTTCTTCTCTAAGGGAAGGCAGTGTAGTGGGTTTTCTACAATATATGACATCGTCTAGGGTCCCCTGTATGAGGGTAACATTACCTGTTGAAAAAACATCATGCTATTTTTCTTTTCCTGAAGTGTCTATACATTTTTTTGGGCCAACTCTGTGTATCATATGGTTGCTGCAAGGAGGATTAAGTGTTAATATGTTAAAAGTGTCTAGAAAAATACATGGTATATAATATTACTCAATGAATGTTAACAATTATGACTCATTGGGAAATTTGGAGATAGGGATTTAGAGATGAAAATGAGGTTTGGAACAGTATAAATTATAACTAGCCTATAGTATTCTACTTAATTTGAATACACACAGAGAAGCTTAGTGACATATGAAAGAGTCTGCCTGCTGTGATTTTATAATCTATTTTGGAAAATATTTAGCAATTTGAGAGCGAGGTCCATCTGGCAATATTACACATTAAAGGGACAAGCACTAAGGTTTCCCAGATGACATGGGATAGCAAGAAAGGACTCACAGGCAAACAGAACCTGATCTGGAGTGTGGCTAAGGATTTGGATATGAGATAGGCATTGGGGGAAGACACAGTGATGAGAAGACAGGGTAAAGTGACCTTGCACTCACACTCCTGGTTAGCAAATAAGGGAGCAAAGATACAGTACTCTTACCGGTTTTGTTAGAGTTTTTAAACTCAAGATGTTTCATAGTGTTATGTTTATGGAATTCACATAAAAATATCCATGTTTTTCCCTGCACCTGGTGATAATTTTATAATCTCAGTGTGGAATGGGTCAGGTGATACCCAACCAAGAGTGACAATCTTGCTTCACTTTCTCCAAGTGACATTTTTATAACCTTTTTTTTTGGGAGAGTACCAATATTTTTATAAATTGCTATTTTTCAAATCAGAATGGCAGTGGTAAGGACTATTGGTGTTTTTCTAGGAGCTACTTCCATTCCCTTGGTGCGCAGGGAACTAGATAAAATGACATGTATACATTGACATTAAAATGGGGACGGGGAGGAGGCTTGAGGGGGGGAAATGGCATAAAAAATAAATTGAGATTAACTTTCATTCCAAGCAGAACTCCAATTCAGTTAGTATTTCTTAATTTTATGGAAAAAATAAAACAAACTT